CACTGAAGTACATATTATATATTTTGTTAAATCTCATTTTCTTGTTTTTAATATTTTTGATGCATTTATAAAAAGTAACTTTAAATTTTTTTTTCCTGTTGCTGGCATATTGATACACAGTTTTTAATCTGATTTTTCTTTTCAATTCTGACAATTCATCTGTAGATTCTTCTGGACTTTATGTATACAATTGTATCATCTACAAGTCAGGACAAATTTGTCTTTCTGTTCCCCAGTACCTTCTGTTCCTTTTTTTTCCTTGTCTAATTACATTTGCAGGGATCTTCATCTAGTAGGATGTTGAATGGAAGTCATAATAGGCTCTTTTGTTTTGTTGCTGTTCTCTGGGAATGCTTTCAATGTATCCTATAAGCAATTTATGGTATTTTTATTAAGTTTAGAAATTTCCCTGTTATTCTGAGTTTGCTGAGATTTATTTTTATAATCATTAAGTTGACTATTATCAAAAGTGTTTCTGTACTTATTGAGAAAAATCATTTTTTACACGTTTATTCTCTTAATGTCATCAGTCACACAGATTTGTTTCCTATCATTAAAACCACTTTCTTTTCTTGAGGTAAAACCAATCTGGCCATGATGTGATTTGTTTGTTTTTTATAGCTGGATTTGGTTTGTTTTAAGATTTTTGCTTAATATCAATATTGTATAGCCTTAAAAAATGAGTTGGAGAGTGGCTCACTTTCCCTGTTACCTGGAAGAGCTTCTGTAAGATTTGCATTACTTCTGTCTTGAATTAGAAGGAAATCAGGAATCTTTGGTGAAGTGTGTTTTGGGTCTGGCATCTTTGTTGGATACTGATTCAGTTTTATTAATAAGAGTATTTTATGTAATATTGGTAAACTGAATATTCCTAAAAATGTGTTTATTTCATCTACATTTTCAAATTTATCAGCACAATGTTATTCCTGTTCTCTTATCTTTTTAACATGTCAGATCTATAGTTATGTTCCTCTTTTCATTTCTGATACTATTATTTGTATCTTCTTTTCTACTTGACCAGTCTTACCAGAGGTTTATCACTTTTATTGTTTCAAGGAGCAAATATTTTGGTGGTTTTCTTGTTATATATTTGTTGTCTGTGTCATTGATTTCAGCTTTTTCATGATTTCTATTTTTCTAGGTTGAGTTTAATGTCATATTTCTATATTCTTGGGTATTTAGCTCAAATTTTTAACTTTCTAATATATATCAAAACTATACATTTCTGCCCTGGCTGGCATAGCTCAGTGGATTGAGCTCGGGCTGCGAACCAAAGTGTCGCAGGTTTGATTCCCAGCCAGGGTACATGCCTGGGTTGCAGGCCATAACCCCCAGCAACCGCACATTGATGTTTCTCTCTTTCTCTATCTCCCTCCCTTCCCTCTTTAAAAATAAATAAATAAAATATTTTTAAAAACTATACATTTCCTTCTAAATCCTACTGTAGCTCTATGTTAGTTTTCTATGCTATGTAACAAATTACAACAAATTGTCAGTTTCAAACAGCATACTTTTGTTATCTCACAATACTATGGGTCAAGAGTCTGGGCAAACCTCAGCTGGGTTCTGTGCTCAGGGTCTCACAAGGCTACGATCAAGTAGTCACTTGGACTGTGTTCCCATCTGAAGCTTGGTGTCCTCTTAATTCATCAGGTTGTTCACGAAATTCATTTCCTTGCAGCTGTAGAACTGAGGCCTTCAGCCACTCAGGGCTTCCCCTCCACTTAAGCAGTTCACATCATTACTGCTTGCTTCTTCCAGGCCAGAAGGAGAGAGAATCTGCTGTGTTGAGTCTCTTCTTTCAGGAAAGGCCTGATGGGCCACCCACAGTAATCGCTATTCAGAGTCTACTGAATAGGGACCTTAATTACACCTCCAAAATCTTTTTACCTTTGCCATATTCTGTTGGTGAGAAGCATGTTGTAAGGTCTGGCCACGTGAAGGTATAGATATGGGGATGGGGAAGGATTTCAGGAGCCATCTTAGAATTCTGCCTACCTACTACAAGCTCCATTCTACAAGACTTGATACCTATCATTCACAAATATATTTTCCCATATGGTTCATTCCCTTTACATTTTACTGCTGTTTTCTTTGGCTGTGGAGAAGCTTTTTATTTTGATGAGGTCCCATTTGTTTATTCTTTCCTTTATGTCCCTTGCTCTAGGAGGAATAGCAGTGAAAATATTGCTGTGTGGAATGTCTGAGATTTTCCTATGTTCTCCTCTAGGACTTTTATAGTGTTGTGACTTATATTTAAGTCTTTTATCCACCTTGAATTTATTTTTGTATGTGTTACAAGTTGGTGATCAAGTTTCATTTTTTTGCATGTAGCTGTCCGGATCTCCCAACACCATTTGTTGAAGAGGCTATTTTTACTCCATTTTATGCTACATCCCCCTTTGTCAAATATTAATTGACCATGGATACTTGGGTTTATTTATGGGCTCTCTATTCTGTTCCATTGGTCAAGGGTTTGATTTCCAAAATATATAAAGAACACAACTCCACTCTAGGAAAACAAACAACCCAATTAAAAAATGGACAAAGGACATGAACAGACACTGTTCCAAGGAGGACATAGAGAGGGCCCAGAGACATATGAAAGGATGCTCAACATCACTAGCCATCAGAGAGATGCAAATTAAAACCACAATGAGAAACCACTTCACACCTGTCAGAATAGCCATCATAAACAAATCAACAAACCAGGGCTGTTGAGGCTGTGAAGAAAAGGGAACCTTAGTGCACTATTGGTGGGAATGCAGACTTGGTGCAACCACTGTGGGAAACAGTATGGAATTTCCTCAAGAAACTAAAAATGGAACTGCCTTTTGACCCAGCAATTCCACTGCTGGGGTTATATCCTAAGAACCTTGAAACACCAATTTAATAGAACCTATGGACCCCAATGTTCATAGCACAATTTCCAATATCCCAGTGCTGGAAGCAACATAAGTGCCCACTCATAAATGAGTGGATCCAAAAACTAGTACATTTACACAATGGAATACTACATAGCAGAAAGAAAGGAGCTCCTACCCTTTGCAACAGCTTGGATGGATCTGGAGAGCATAATGCTAAGTGAAATAAGCCATGTGGTGAAAGACAAATACCATATGATCTCATCTATAAGTGGAACCTAATCAACAAAACAAAGCAAGCAAAATATAACCAGAGACATTGAAATAAAGATCAAACTGACGGTAACCAGAGGGGAGAAGGGTGAGGGATAATGGGGGAAAATAAGGGAAGAGCCACCAAAGATCATATGTATGATGTATAAAAGACCCATGGACAAAGGCAAAGAGGATGGTAGGTTCAAGGGTGGGAAGGCAGGGGGTGTGGTGGGGTGAAAATGGAGACAACTGCTTGAACAACAATGTAAGTAAAAGACTTGATACCTATTTTACTTAATCAATTTCAAAGAATTTTCTGAATTTGTTATCCTAATTTGACCCATAGATATTATTTGGAATTACAATTCTTAATTTCCAAACATAAGTATTTAAGTTCTGTTTTATTGATTTCTAACATAATTACACCATTGTGATCAGAGAGCATAATCTCTATTATTTAAATTACTTGAAATTTATGGGCGATTGGTTTATGATTCCACTTACCTTTCTCTCAATTTATATGTTGTCACATATTTTGTATACCTTTAAATATAAGTTATTACTATTTTATTCAATATTCATTTAGATTTACCCATTTATTTGTCACCTTGGCTCTCTGTTCCTTGCTGCTCTTGAAGCTTCCATCTAGAATAATTTTTCTTCTGCATGAATACATTTAGAATTTCCTTTAGTGCAGGTCAGCTGGTAGCAAATTCATTTCACTCTTTTTTTGAAAATGTCTTTATTCTGCCTTAATATTTGAAGGAAATTTGTGCTGGGCATAGAATTCTCTTTGGATAATTTTATCTTGAAGTATCTTCCTATTGTCTGCTGGCTTCCCTTTTGTTATGAAGAAATCAGCTATCTGTTGCCTTATTGAAACGAATTTTTTTTTGTCTGGCTGCATTCAAGATTTTCTCTTTGTGTTTGATTTTTCTGCAGTTTCATTGCTGTAAGTGATTTCATTGTATTTTATTACTTGGGTTTTTTTGGGGGAATCTTGGATCTGTGGATTGATATGTCAGTTCTGGGAAATTTTCAGCTATAATCTCTTTAAATGTTGCCTCTGTCTAATGTGCTCTCTCTTTGCCTTCTGGGACTTCTAAATGTATGTTAGACCTTCTTGGTGTATTTCCTGTATCTATTTTTCTTGTATATGTTCTATATTTTATCTGCATCATCTAGATTCTGATACAGCTTATAAATCATGAATTCACTTTTTAGCTGTTTTTAATCTGCCATAAGACATTCATTGAGTTCATAATATGTTTTTATATTTTTTAATTCTATTTTTGTTAGGTTCTTTTTTTCTTATGTGCTCTGTTATTTTTTATGTCATCCAGTTTCTTGCTGTATTTTTTTAAATCCTCCCCTGAGAATATGTTTATTGATTTCAGAAAGAGAAAAAGAGGGAGAGAGAGAAAAAAACATTGATGTGAGAGAGAAACATCAATTGATTGCCTCCCATATGTGCCCCAACCGAGAATCAAACATGTAACCTAGGTACATGCCCTGACTGGGGACCGAACCCACAACCTTTTGGTATATGGGGTAATCTCCAACCAACTGAGCCATCCAGACAGGCCTTGCTGCATTTTTAAAGTGAGAATTTTATTTCTGTGGATTACCCTTTGTGTCTGATAATTCCAGTGTGTACAGCCTACTGTGATTCTTTTTGTGGATCTGTAGTTCATATTGCTTCTAGTTAATGTTGTCTTGGTTATCCTTGTACTTCATTATGTTTGTACTTGAAAAACCTAAAAAAAAAAAAGGAATAATTTAAGATCTGGGATGATTTTATCTTCCTTAAGAGGTTTTTGGGTTTTGTTGTTTATCTGTATGTTATATAAATTAACTCATTTATTAAAGGCTAGCTATATTTCAAATAACAAAGCTTCTACAGATTTTTAGTTCCTTCAGTCTTCTGATGGCAGACTTTACTGTGGTGGCAGAAGTGATCATGCAGGTCCAGGTACCACCAGCTATTATTTTCATGCAAGAACATAGTGCCACATCCCCACAGCTCATCTTATCTTGGTTTTGCTATAGAAAGAGCAAGTGTACTTAACCTGCTGGCTGATTTCAATTTTCTTCACTATTTTCTTGAGGGAGGCACTATAATGAGTCTCATATTTACCAACAATTCTGACTTTCTTGGTGTGTTTAGCTTTGTCATCGCAAAGTAGTTTTGAGCCCAGAGAAGGAGGTTTTTTCATTCTTTCTACCAGGTGTCTGAGGTCACAGTCTGGAACTTAGGCTTAAGATTTTCTGTGCCCTTTCAGATGACCCACTGAATTTCGGTTTGTACCCCCGACTCCAGGATACAGCCCTGACTTGGGCTTTGGTCTAAAGGGGTGCTTTCACCATTTGGTGGATACTAAACCCAACCCTTGTCTTTCCAGCTCTGGTTGTTGATGAAAAGACAACTCCACCTCTCAGCTACTTTCTCTAAGATTAGCAATCCATCCCAAGGGCAAAAGTAGCTTTGGCACTGCTTCCTGAACTCTAATTCTGCCCTGGAATTTGACCTGAGAAATTCTAGCTTTTATGTCTTCAAAAAGATACTTACTGTTTTTCAGGGGAGCACTGATCCAAATAACCTGTTTTCTGTTTCCTCATTACCCACCTTCAGAAATTCAAAGTTACGTCTTGGTCATGAATAAAATGTGCAACTTCTGTACTTTTTTTTCCTATGTCACCCTTGGGTGACTCATAGAGTTCAATTTCCCCCAGATAATATCTTCATATCAGTGACTCATTAATTTTTTCAACAAATATTAATTTAGTGCCAAGTATATTCTGTCTTTTTTCTAGAACTAGAGCACGGGTGTCCAACCTTTTGGCATCTCTGGGATACACATTAAATACACAAACACTAATGAAAACTGATGAGCAAAAATAAAATCCATGCATAATTTTTGTGATATTGGCCACCACAGATAAGCATAAAGGTCCTCACATAATAACCCTAGTTATGCAGCGACCCTTTCAATAATCATTTATAATTGTGGAGCAGGTCCCAAGTTTGTGATCACTAATATAGGAAAGTACATATTAAGTAATAACATGTCATTCATGTTTTTAAATATTTTTTTTATTGTAAATGTAAAAGAAAAGAGGGCAACATAAAACTAGTGGGGCCTTTGACATTGTTTTTGAGAAACTAGTGCATCAATATCTGGCTTGATAGAAGTAGTTGCAATTCTTAGTGAGTTTTCAAGGTGCTTGTCAGATATTTTGGTTCTAATTTTACTCTTAATGTGTTTTATTCTTGAAAACAGTTGCTTGCAAATGTAGGTGCTGCCAAATAACGATGACATGAGTGAGGCGTGATTGTGAAGCAAAGGATATTCGTTTCTGGGAATATAGGATTTATAGTCCAGTAGAGAGACATGATCAAAGTTTTCTTTAAGTTGAGTGTCAGGTTGCAGCTCTATGTGTTTCATTTGAAAATTGGCAGGTTATATTTATTTCTACTGAAAATGAAATTGCAAACATAGCAAAATATTGATTATTTTCCCAGAAATCTTGAAATCTGTTTTCAAATTCTTGTATCAAATCAAAAGGTAAGGCTGCATTATTTTTCACTGTTCACAGGACTGTGTTTAGCTAACATGTTGAAATGCATAAAATTGTTTGCCTTAATTTGAGCTTGCCTTAATTTCAGTTTTATTTGGAATGCTGTTACGGTTTGAAACATGATATTGATAAGTTGGTTTTCACCTTGAAGATGCATATTTAACTCATTTAAATGAGCAGTTAAATCCAATAAAAATGCTAAGTCTGTAAGCCAGTTTTCATCATCAAGTTCCAGCACAAATTTGTTTTTGATACCATAAATGACAACATGTTGTTAAGCATAAAATCCTTTCAGCATTTGGCCTCCACTTAGCCATCTTACTTCTGAAAAGTAAATGATGTCGCCATAATCAGCATCAATACTTTTAAGGAATTCCTGGAATTGGCAATGATTCAGTCCCTTGGCTCTTATGAAATTCAGTCTTGATGATGATTTGCATGACATCCATTTTTAAAGCTTTTGTGCATAAATTTTTTTGATGTACAATGCAGTGATACTTCATCAAATGTGAATTTTGGGCAGCAATTGCATCATCTTCTATTAATTTTACAAGTCCCTCTCTTTTACCTCCCATCGCCAGGGCACCATCGGTAACTATACTAGATATGTTGACAATGGACAAAACTGCTTTAACATATTTTTTACTGCTTCAAATGAATCTCTTGATTTAGTTGTGTCTTTTAACAGCACTAAAGAAGCCATTTCTTCAGTGACATATTTGTCATCAATACCTCTAATAAAAATGGCAAGTGGAGCCATATCTGTAGCATCAGTGCTATCATCCATCGCCAAAGCATAAAAATTCAAAATTAGCAGCCCTGCTCTCCAAACTCATTTCAATAGACTTTTCCAATTTTTTCAATTCACCTGGCTGTAATGTGGGAAGACAAACTGATTTCAGAAATATCACTCTTTTCTTCAGGGCAAATTATGTCTGCCATACTTTGTATACATTGCTTAATAAACTCACTGTCAGTAAATGGTTTTGATTTTTTTGCTGTTAAATATGCTACCATATAACTAGCTTTTACAATGAAACCCAACCAAGTTACAGCTTTTTGAAAAAAATTTTGTTGAGCAGACTTCTTTTCAGTTCTGCTATTTTGTCCTTATGACACAATCCATATGCATTGAAATTGGCATGCTTTTTGCATATAATGCCTCTTCAAATTATAGTCTTTGAAAACTTGCACAAATTCCCTGCAAATTAAGCAGAGTGCTTTACTATTTCCCTCTACAGAAAAGTAGTCATCTGTCCACTTTTAATTGAACAATCTTCCTTCACCCATAGTTTTTCTTTTTGGGAGGTTCTTTTTTCTTTTGAGATGTAGATGCCATACTGGTATTAAAAAAAATAATAGGGCTTCCATCCAAGATGGAGGCATAGGTAGATAACTTTGCTTCCTGGTACAACCAAAAGTAGGACAACAAATTTTAAAACAAAAAGCAACCAGAACTGCCAGAAAATTAAAATGTATGGAAGTCTGACAACCAAGGACTTAAAGGAGAAACATTCATCTAGACTGATAGGAGGGGCAGAGACAGGCAGCCAGGGTGGAAAGGATAGGTGACAAGGTGATGGCTGGCAGTCCCACATTTGTGTGTGGATAAACCAAGAGAAATAACTGGGAAGCAAAACAGACCATGCAATCCATGGTTCCAGCCCTGGAAAAGAAGACCTCAAACTCCCTGGATATAAAAACCTGTGGGGAGTGCAGAGGCAGGAGAAACTCCCAGCCTCACAGGAGAGTTTGTTGGAGAGACTCACAGGGTCCTAGAATGTACACAAACTCACTCACCCAGGAATCAGCACTAGAAGAGCCCAATTTGCATGTGGGTAGGTGGGGAGGTGACTGAAAGCCAGCAAGAGCCAAGCAAGGGTCATTGTTCCATCTCTGATCCCTCCCTCACATACAGTGCCACAACACAGGGAAAGGGGTTGGCCTGCCCTGGTGAATACCTAAGATTCTGACCTTTACAACTTAACAGGCACACCAAGACAAAAAGTATATATATAGCACAAATGAAAGAACAGATCAAAGCTCAGAAAATAGAACTAATCAATAAAGAGATAGCCAACCTATCAGATGCAGTGTTCAAAACACTGGTAATCAGAATGCTCACAGAAATGGTGGAGTATAGTCACAAAATAGAGGAAGAAGTGAAGGCTGTGCAAAGTGAAAGAAAAATATACAGGGAACCAATAGTGAAGGGAAGGAAACCTGGGCTCAAATCAATGATTTGGAGCAGAAGGAAGAAATAAATGTTCAAGCAGAACAGAATGAAGAAACAAGAATTTTTAAAAATGTGGAGAGGCTTAGAAATCTCCAGGACAACTTTAAATGTTCCAACATCTGAATCATAGGGGTGCCTGAAGGAGAAGAGGAAGAGCAAGAAATGGAAAACTCTGAAAAAATAATGAAGGAGAACTTCCCCAATCCGGTGAAGGAAATAGACTTCCAGGAAGTCCAGGAAGCTCAAGGAGTCCCAAACAAGTTGGACCCAAGGAAGCACACACCAAGGCACATCATAATTACATTACCCAAAATTAAAGAGGAGATAATCTGAAAAGAAGACAGTTCTACAAAGGAGTTCCCATAAGATTATCAGCTGATTTCTCAAAAGGAAACTTACAGGCAAGAAAGGTCTGGAAAGAAGTATTCAAAGTCATGAAAGGCAAGGACCTGCATCCAAAATTACTCTATCCAGCGAAGCTTTCATTTAGAATGGAAGAGCAGAGAAAGTGCTTCCCAGATAAGGTCAAGCTAAAGGAGTTCATCATCACCAAGCCCTTATTATATCAAATGTTAAAGGGACTTATCTAAGAAAAAGAAGAAGATCAAAACTATGAATAGTAAAATGATAACCAAGTCACAAACTATCAACAACTGAACCTAAACATGAAAATAAACTGAGCAAACAACTACAACAGGAACAGAATCACAGAAATGGAGATCACATGGAGGGTTATCAGTGGGCAGGGGGAGAGGGGAATGTGAGGGAAAGGTACAGGTAATAAGAAGAATATGACAGGTACAAAATAGACAGGGGGAGGTTAAGAATAGTATGGCAAATGGAGAAGCCAAAGAACTTATATGTATGACCCATGTACACGAACTAAGGGGGTGGGGAATGCTGATTGGAGGGTGGAGGGGAGTAAAGGGGAGAAAGAAAAATGGGACAACTGTAATAGCGTAGTCAATAGCATAGTCAATTAAATTTAAAATAAAATAAATACTAGATAAAAGACCTTATTTGCTTTCATTGTGAAAATTAATTAACAGGAAAATAGAAAGCAAGGTTTGGGCCCTTCCACAGCTCTTTCATCTGCTGATGCAGGACAATGTGGAGGGCCAATTATAAATCGTGGCAGGTGATGCGTGAGGTGCTGCTGAGAAATGGAAATACCTTTAATGATCAAATAAGAATGCTTACCTGACTTCCAAATAATAATGAACACCTGATGTTGCAATGGTATATTGAAATATTGATAATCGCTACCTTGCTAAGTCATCACAAGCACATGTAACGTCTGATGGTATCAATTCTATTGTCTGTGTTTGGAAGATAAGACACTGAAAGCACACACCACATAAAATGCAAGTCATGCATGTGTACAAATAGCAAGAGTGTATG